CGAATGGTTGTAGCACGAATGGTTCGGCTGGACCCATGGGTCGATCCATTCGTGCTACAACCATAATATAGCCACATACGAAAAATATTGCTTCATAGATGGGAAATTTGCCACTGCTGCTACGTTTGGCGGGCGGGAAGACTCTGCTGTCTATCTTTTTTTATAGGATAGTGTGACAAACTAGCACACAGTCCACCTGATGGTAAGTGATTGCTGTGGCTCATAGACATCTACATCTATCCTCGATTACGAATCAAAATGCAGATGCGTTGTCAACCGTGAGGACAAGATGGAATGCCTCGTTTCCAGTAAAGGGTCTCCGGTTCCCTACACTCACCATACGAAACACAGCAGCATTAAGCTACTATTTGACACTGGTATTCTGTGAGAGCGTGGTCCTTCCCCGGTCGAGCCGACCCATTCGTGCTACAACTATACTACTAATATAACTGCAGCATGGCTCTACCACGTATAAGATTTTATATCTTGTGGTATATTTACCTTTGTCGCCTTTTACGATACTACTGGCACAATATGAGGTATCCCGGACACCGCAACTACATGTTCAAAAGATATAATATAACTTTAAGCCATTGAACTACATTCGTAATAGCTTTCTGAGCGTTCATTTACTTTGTATAAGATTAAACAACATAGAAGTGTAGACCGGAAAGTATTTAAAATTAAACGCAACAGCGTCAGTAGTATTTCCGCCAAATTTGTTTCTAAAGATGTATTTATTTGCATTACATGTTTGTATATTGTAACTATATAAACGTTACACAGCACAAACATAAATATGTGTACCTTTTAGGCATAGCAATATGGGAGACAGAGATGCAAACATCGAAAGCGTTTTTCTTCGAAGTATTCTTTGACGGTATAATAAACTTTAATAAAAGTAATTTCTTTAATAATTTAACAAATTTACTAAACTTATTTTCTTCTTTTATGTTTGATGGCAGTTTGTTACACACTTTTATTGACATTGAATAACGACCGAAGCTATGTAGTATTAAAATACCAGGATGCTTTACTCGGTTTTTTTTAAAATTACATTTAGATACAAATTACATACCGATGAATAATATTTTTTGATCTTATTGACATAATAGAAAAAAACTGAACTGGTTATTTGAATAAAAAATCATGAGTGCAATTAGTTTTATTAAAATTTTCGTATTTTTAAAAAATACTAAAAAAGGGCTTGAAATAATACACTTTCTCAAAAAAGAAGGGAACTTAATAAAAAAGGAAAAAGCCGGACCAGAGACAGGACACGAACCACGGAACTCCGATATTACGCCCAACCGACATCCCACCTGAGCTATTACGATCGTTAGTGATTTGTTAAAATTTACCTTCTTATATTGTAGCAGTTCTTTTATTGCATGAAAACACGGACAAAAGGACATTTTCTAAAAATAAATCCTTGCTAGATCGATTTATTGGCCCCGAAATTCCCTGGACACTAAATTTTATGAAAATCGTTGGAGCCGTTTCCGAGATTCCGATTATATATATATATATATATATATATATATATATATATATATATATATATATATATATATATACAAGAATTGCTCGTGTATCGTGTATTTTATATATAAAGGTATAGGAATTTGATTTTAGCATAAGCGACGCGACGGGACATGTCTCCTTGCGTTGTATACGAATTTAGATAATTTCTTACTGATTACATGTAAATTCAAGATAAAGTTAAGATTTTTAAACTTCTAAAAATAGATTTAAATCCTAGTCTTGAAATATTTTCACTGAATTAACTACTTAATTCACAAGAAAATTTAGTGAAAATAAAAAAATACTTTTGTTCTATAAATAAGACTCGTCAGGACTATTATTTAATCAATACTTATTTTAGTTGTTATTGAAAACCTAAAAAAAACATTTAAATTAGGAAAATGTTTGTTTTCATCTCCATTTTCTTTTCTATCGTCTTACTCTAACTGTCTATCAACTGTAATTTATTTATATGTGTACGTATAATATACGTGTACATAAATACAATAATTCTAATATAATATCACAGTTAAATACTATAATAAATTTTGGTTATTACTAAGCAATCAAGGATCTTGAACTATTTAAATTTCCTAACTGGATTTAATTAAATCGCGTAAATTTTGTTTACAATCACTTGTTAAAATAGAAGCTCCTTATTGATTAATTGATAACTGATATTACTGAGCCGTGGTAAAACAGGGTCTAAATGTTGCTTATTTTCCAAGTGATTCGTGGTGAAGGAAAACATCGTAAGGAAACCTGCTAGTCTGTTAAAAAATAAAAATACTTCTATAATACGTGAAATCCGCGAACACACTTCTTTGCCATAAAATCCTCAATTATAAGAAGAGGCCTGCGCCAAAAATGGAACTTATAAACGTCTTACTTAACTAACGAGATAAAACTTACTTAAAATAAATTTATTTACGGTGATATTGCGTCAACTTTCAATTACATAATAATGTCCTCCAGACCGAATTTCGGCCACGGAGGCCTGCCTCAGCGGAGGCTAGCCATCGGCGCAGGACAGGATTATAGTGCCCAAGTGTATGCGCAAGCACAGGTGCACTCTCTATTCCCTCACTCTCATAATCCGATGGGACGGTAAACCGACACGACCGGAGAGAGATCAGGTGCAGGACCAACGGCTTTACGTGCTTTCCGAGGCACGGGGGTGAGACACCGCCAACTTCCTGACTCCGGGCAACTACTGAGAATTTCTTGACGGAAAAACTCAATAATTAATTTTTTGACCCGACCCGGGATTCGAACCCAGGACCACATTATCAGCAGTCGCACTACTACAACCACTAGACCAATGAGGCAGTCACATATCAAATCAAATTTCAATTACATACCTCATATTTAAACGTTGTTATATCCAATATAATTTTATTTGCGAAGTAAGATCACAAGATCTTAACCAAACAAAACGTTGCAATGAATTTATTAATATTGTAAATAAGTATTATGGAATCCACAGATTCAAATGTAAGAGCCATGGTTTCCGATGTTCGCACTTGACCTTTTGAAAGGACATGAGTTGATAAATGTCGGCCGCTACCTATTGACACTCCGTTTCATGGACATCTTGTAAATCGCCTTAGGCCGGCTCTACATTTGATCACCTTGTAGTATATAGTATTGTATATTAGGCATATCGTATCAAGTAATTGTATCTTCAGTCTGGCCGCCCATTTCGAACATATCGCATCACTAGCCGTATCGTGTCAGAAAAGGCGTCCATACGTATTATGCCAGCGTATCGGCGTAACGTTCTTCATATGAACGCTAAAAAGTTTTCTCCGATTCTCGTATGTTTTTCACGTCTTTCCACAAACTTTTCATGACAGTATTGCGGCGTGTAGTAACCCCTTTCATGATCGGAATAAAACCGACTAGACATGGGATGCGGCGTATCAGGTATCACGTGGTACCATCGTATCATGATAGAGTATCTAAATACTGCCCCCATTGTTCTTAGATCTAGATACATCTATCGAATACGAGGCGTATCAGATACGAGGTTATGTGCGGCACAGAACAAATCATATGCGGTATCACAATTTTGTGACCATACCATACATCAATCCGGGCCTTAAGATATATATATATATATATATTTATATATATATATCAATATTATGAAATGAATACAATTTTTTTTAATAAGATAGGGTGACAAACGAGCACACAGTCCACCTGAAGATAAGTGATTGCTGTGGCCCATAGACACCTACATGTATCCTCGATTACGAATCAAAATGCAGATGCGTAGTCACCCGTGAGGACTAAGATGGAATGTCTCATTTCCAGTAAAAAGGGTCTCCGGTTCTTTACACTCACCATACGAAACACAGCAGCATTAAGCTACTATTTTACGCTGGTATTCTGTGAGAGCGTGGTCCTTCTCCGGTCGATCCGACCCATTCGTGCTACAACTATACTACTAATATAACTGCAGCATGGCTCTACCACGTAAAGAATCTTAGTTAGTTATGATAGGAAGGACGGAAGTTATGATCTGGTTGCGACACTCTTCCATTCAGTTTCATTTCGTAGATACTAGTAGCTTACCAACTTTGATAAAGGAGAAGATATAAATTTGAAAGCCCAGTGCGTATTGGGTCACGCGTAAGATTTTTGTATAACTTAAATAGTCACGCTCCAGCTTTTATATGGTACAACATGAATGGATCGGGTCGACTAGGAAAGAACAAATAATACCTACATAAAATAATAACATTAATTCTGATGTGTGTTTATCCTGAGTGCACAGAATTGGAGACCATTTTACTCGAAACGAGAAATTCCATCTTCGTCCCAATGGGTGACTGGCAACGTATCTGCATTTTGATTATAAATATAAATCGGTGATAGGTGTAGGTCGTTGGTCGATGTAGATCGGTGATAGATCTATAAACCTCAGAATCTACTTAGCATCGGAGGGACTAAGCGTTCTCACGATACGAAGTTGAGTGGCTTATTCTCTGCCGAGGAGTAGGTCTTTGTGACTCTTAAGCTGGCTTCTCAAGCATGATGTCATGCACGCGTCGTTCCTAGGTAGAGGCTCGAGGAGATGCAAGCTCGATTGTGGTATCACATCCGATCTGTTCGAAGTCGGTGACATCAAAAGCGCGGGGCGTCGCGGCGAGGCGTGGTTGAATACGTCGCTATTTGCTGTTTTCACTGTCATTTCGTTTGACTCGTGGTCCATCGCGATGACCCACTATGACGGGCTCAAGCTTAAGTTGTTTAATAGATTTTGCTGATTTGTGTGTGTTTTTCAGATTTATTATACATTAGATTTTAAAGATAAAGCTCGAACTTGAAGGTAGTATATCTAAGGTATCTTAGATAACCGTTCTTGTGCAAATCCGAGAGAGTGTCACTAATTTAAATTTTACATCCATATATTAAAAATGATGTTTATTAAAATATCGAATAAGAAAGTAAAATAAGTTAAAACTTACCAATGATGTGAATGATTTTTTCCCTTTTAGTCGATGCTCTACCTATTAAAAAATTCTCCGGCTTTACGTCCCGATATATGAGGTGTCTTGTGTGGACATACTCGATACGATGAAGCTGAAATAATCGTCGATTGTTAGTTAATAATTGAACATTTTTGTCTCTTAAATGGAATATTGAATTTAATAATTGAAAATACAGCAGCAAACTATCTCTTTTATTAAGTAATTTTAAAGTTGAATTAATTCGATTTTAGCAACACCGAGATTGTCTTTTAACCTACATGTAATTACACAAGAATGAACTTATGTTAATATACATATATGCATATTGCATGCTGGTTTGGTACAGAAATCTTTATATTTTTTGATAAATCAAAAATTATGGAATGTTTAAAAGAATGGTGTTACTTGGTCATATTATAATAGCGTAAACACGGTCATAACATCATATAACCTCATGATGATAAAAATTTGTACAAAATGATATAAAGTTTCACAATCCTGCTGCTATAATATATACAAGTTAGAAAATTTCGCAGCAGTGTAGTGGCGACGTAAGTGAATCGATCACACCATTGCGTCCCTAGTGGTGACTGGAGTAAATGCCAGAAATATTCCATTTACGTTAATCGTAAAATACCAAGTTCGGCGACGGAAAGTAGCATCAAAGGCCGATTCTGGTTCGTGGCAAATCCATCTTTCAACGGCCTATATATACAGCAGGAGAAAATGTTGAAGTACAAACCGACAAGGACGATATTGATTGGTTATTTACGAAATATTACATTTAGGCACTTCATTTTATTACTGGACCGATGGATCGGAGTAATGAACCAAAATCAGGCAATTGCGGGAAACCAGAAAGTTTCTAATTAATCACGGTAACTCTTGCTACTCGAAGTAACGGTATTTGTTTTATAATTTGAAACAATTAATTGACTTAAATATTATTCATAGTTAGACTCTCGTTTACCGCAACCATTTTCAAAATTGTTGATTTTCTTGTCCAACATGAAAATCGACGATTTGGCTTAAAGAGGAGTGTTTGTCATAAAAGAAGACCCTTACCCGCGGTACCAGTTTTCGCGAAATTTGACATTTGCTATCATATTACATAGCTATTTTTTATTTTGACCTACGAGGGTGGATTGAAAAGTACTCGGCCTAACACAGATCCATTCAATTCTAAAAATCAAATCTACCCACATTATTTAGTTCAGTTCAGACTAGTTCATTGTGTGAAGTTCGAAACGTGTGCGATAATTAGTTGTGATTTTATAAATTTATTAACAAAGTAATCGGACATAATTTCCGCGAATGGAGCAAATCGAGCAGCGTGCCGTCATTAAGTACCTCCATAAGAAGGGGCTATCATCAAAAGCCATCCATGATGACATGGTCAGTACATTAGGCGATTGTGCTCTGTCATATTCATCCGTCAAAAAATGGATAGCAGAATTTAAGCGTGGTAGAGAGAGTGTGAAAGATGAACCCCGCTCTGGAAGGCCTTCGACGTCAACTACTGACGAAAATATTAAAAAAGTACTTGATTTAATAATGGGAGACCGCAGATTAAAAATTAGAGAGATAGCCGAGATTATAGGCATCTCTTATGAACGAACTCAAAACATCATTGTCAACGAGTTGGGTTTCCACAAGGTGTCTGCGAGGTGGGTTCCGCGACTGCTTTCAGTTGAACAAAAAAAGGACGCGATTGACTATTTCACGCGACTGTTTGGAGTTATTTGAAGCCGATGCAGATGATTTTTTGAATCGTTTTGTTACTATGGACGAAACATAGGTTCATTACTGTACACCGGAAACAAAACAACAATCAAAACAGTGGAGAAGACCTGGTTCACCACCTCCTAAAAAGGCTAAGTCGATTTTGTCGGCAAATAAGGTGATGGCTTCAGTATTCTGGGACTCGAAAGGTGTGATTATGATTGATTATCTTGAAAGGGGTCAGACTATAAACTCTGATTACTACTGCACCTTACTACGTCGTTTACGAGAGGAAATAAAAGAAAACGTCGAGGAATGCTCAGAAGAAAAGTCCTGTTTCATCAAGATAACGCCCGTGTTCACACGTCAGTACAGTCAATGGCTGAAATTCACAACTGTGGCTTTGAACTGTTACCGCATCCGCCGTATTCACCTGATCTGGCACCATCAGACTTCTTTCTGTTCCCTAACCTAAAAAAGCACTTGGGAGGTCAAAGATTTTCGACAAACGACGAGGTCAAAGCAGCTGTAGAAGCATATTTTGACTCTAAGGAAGAATCATTTTTTTTTCAACGGTCTAAATGCTTGGAAGGGGAGGTGGCAAAAGTGTATTGAACTTGATGGTGATTATGTAGAAAAATAAAAATATAACTGATTTAGTATGTGTTTATTTTCTTGGTTAGGCCGAGTACTTTTCAATCCACCCTCGTATGTATTATTCGCGTATCTTGCCACGGGACTTCTTTATTGAAACAGACTATATTTGAAACCTGAGAATTACGAACTACTTTTTGTAATAAGACGGGAAAAGTTGTTCAAACGTAAACAAAGAAGTAAAAGTCATTAGTCGTCGCAGCAATTTCTACCGCCTCTTGAAAACATATTATCGAATTCATTAAGGAATCCGACAGTAATAATGGAATAAACAAATATTTTTCACTGCAGAGCGAAATGGAGCACTACATTTAGAACGAATGACGTCAACCGAGATAGATTAGGCTATTGTTTCAAATATCCTAGAACCGATAGAGCGTACAAATTAGCGTTAGTGGAACTCGTTTGCATTTGTTTAACTGCATATCGGTATTTATATTGATTTAATTGATTACCACTGGCCGGATAACGAATATTCTACTGGTAGTGGATTCGAATGAAAGTTGTATTTGATGTTTGTGCATAGTACAAATAATTCGAATTTGGTTTCGCTATGATAATCCTCGAATCGCTGACGCTGTATCCGATATTGTATCGGAACATTTCTATAATGTGGACGACACAGTAACGTCATGACAGCATTTTTTTTAAATAAAAGTAAAGGTGACGAACAAGCACACGATCCAGCTGATAGTAAGAGTATTTGCATATATTATCTATGGACCAAGAGTGCTTAGTCCATACATATCTTTATTACCGATAAAAAAATATCAAAATGTAGGCAGGCTGTATCTTTTGTTAACTAAGATGAAATAACTTGTAACCAGTAAAAAAAGTCTTCGGTTCCATTCACTCATTATACTAAACACAGCAGCATAGGCATATTTTAAGCTGGTATTTGCGAACGAGATGATCCCTGATCCAGCTAACCAATAATGTCATAATGCATATAACTCTGCTACATAAAAACATAAGTCAAATAAGTGCCGCGTTGAGAAGAAAAAACTACCCGATATCACCCGTAGGCGTATGAACAGCAACATATTTTTGATAATAACCGAAAATAATAAAAAATTGCGGTTGCCAACCCTCTTGCCCAGCGTGTCACTATGGCAGCTATCCCCTCTATGAGGCCATGAGGAAAGCCTATGTTCAGTAGTGGACTTTTGAAAGGATGTTATGAATGGACGAATCAATAAAAAACGAGTACCTGGTTAAAAATGTAGTAAAAAAGCAGTAGGTCTAGTAGAAAAAAGCAGATGACAAAACAATGGAGAAAACAGCAATATCGGTAACATCTTTCCAAAAATAAAAAAACAGTCAACAAAATGATACGAAAACGACATGTACAGGCTCATAAATAACTGTGACGGCCTGGTGACGTAAGGATGACCAAGATGTAAAAAGTATGATGGAGACGAAACAGTTATCAAGAAGCGACATCAAACAGATTATCATGTAAGACAACAATGCAATGTTATTTCGGCAGCAATGAGATACCACAAGACAATGCACCTAGCATATAATTATAATAATTACTTTAAATGAAAAGTACACAACATGTAAAAGAAACGAAGTACAAATTGTTCGATACATTTATTCTTAGTACTGACTACAGAAACAAAAAAATGTGGTGATTATTATTTTTGGAGTCGGGTTTGTTCTTTTTAATAAGAAACTTATTTATTGAAATATAATAAAATGAAATATATCTGTCAGCCATCTCTTCCATCCCTGCACAGGTAGAACGACTCACTGGCCCAGTCCCGAACTCATGAGCGACAGCTTTAGTGCACCCGATACCTAAAAATTACGACAGTTCAGACTCGTTCAACTACAGGCCTACTCCTTGTTGTAAAACTATCCTTGTTCTTCAAAATCATGGAAACCATTATAAACTACCAGCTCATTAGGTACCTAGAGGTCCACCAGCTGATTAGTAACCGCCAATACTGTTTTCGCTGAGGTCACTCAGCTGGTGATCGTCTAGTATACCTGACTCTAAGATGATGTATGCAGTGGAGCCCTAGATGAAGACCTTGGACAGTCAAGGTCTTCTATCTTCTATTCAAACTAACAGTAGTTTGGACATATCCGTTTGAGTGGAATTTCATCTAAATAGTTACATTCAAATTTTCACCCTATTTCATCCTAAATTTTCACCCTTACCATCTAAGTCTTCATTACCACATTGTGGTCAAGCACTGGCTTATAATGAGTTTAAAAAAATCCTTCAAATTAATATGTGACCAAACTTATTAAATAAAAAAAGAATCATCTGACTCGGCTTAACCGTTTTCGAGAAATCGGTGATAATTTATAAAAAAAAACATTCGACGCGTATGTTTTTAGTACTACAGGACTTTCTTGTGTTCGACCTCGGTTAAAAATATATAAACAGGGCAACGTCAAAAAATACCTTGTATACTTCACATTAGTCAGCCATAACGTTAAATTCTTTATTAAATGCTATACACGAGGGAGGCTGAAATGAATAGCGACAAATGAAAAAACTGAACGACAAATGAAAAAAAAACGTTGATAGATTAGAAACTATATTACGTTAAAGTAACAATGATAGAAAAATTATCACTTGGACGAAAGGACAACCATGAGAATAACAAGGTGATGCGTCAGAAAACGTGATAATAACATTATTCAAATAAGCAGATTAACTACTACTATATAACACTAAAGGAAGCAATAACTTAACAACGTCTGAAAAATGAAGGGTTTTCTAGAAGATACGACGTCATTGTGATAACTAGAATAAAAGTAGGCGATATAGATAAATACAATACATTAATGCCAACAAAGTTCTATGCTTCCTTAATCAAAAAATTTTTGTAATAGAAAAATGTAATGAATCGATGGATTTAGCAAGTGGGGACTGTTCAGCAATTGACTTGTGATGGCCTGTAATGGTGATGATGACGGTGTGTCATACTTTTTTATATTAAGTAGTTGTACCATCATGAATGAATGATTACAACATATAATTTGTATTTGCTTATTTTAATAGTATCTCAAAACTTGGTCGGCTTTCGGATTTAAGTTAAATTAATTATAATGGTGTTTGTTTGAGTACAAACAAGTATGATGAGATTGAATTGATTGATTTAAAAATATCATTGTGACAACTCATAAAGTATTTTTATGTATATTATTATAATAACAATTAACATGTTGTACTACTCAGCTTTACCTTATAAAGGTTCATTACTCCATGAAGTAAAACAAAGCTATGTCAAGAAAACGTGCTTCCGTAATTATTAAAATATTTTAAAAACGATTACGTACTTACTGTTTTTATCTTTTTGCGTATATAGTCAAAAAATTTAATAAGTATACTCACGAGCTGCATGGCGATCATTAGGACAGTCTTTAGAGAGAAGCGTCGCCCGCACAGATCGAACAGGTCCTCGAGCGACGGGCCCAGTAGTTCCATCACCAGTGCATTGTATTTACCGCACGGCCCGAAGTAATACACCTCGGGGATCCCTTCCGCTGTGGAAGGAGCTGCAGGGATCACGGAAGGTACGGGAGGGAATTGGGAGGGAGACAAATAGGCGAAACTAATTAGTACTTACTCATGTACATCGAGCATTGCTCTCGCTTTCACCTGTACTACACAACACTATAACCGATATTTAAAATACGCGGTAACTAGGCCGAAACGCGAGAGCATTGCTATAAAATAAAAATTAAGAAAAAATAAAGCCACGGTCGTAAATCATAATAAACATTAAGCGAGAACGTAACGCCCATTGTGTAGCAATATCTATCTTGTTTGTAATGAATCGCGAACCTTTACAACGACCATGACCACGGTTTGCGAGTGCCCTCGCGATATACCGCCGAACGGAGCGTCGGATATCGGTTACGGTGTTGTGTCGACAAAACAATCAGCTATCTAACGAATGCACATGACACTTACGAGCTGAATTGCAATTAAAAGGACCGTCTTCAGCCGGAATCTTCGGCCGCAATGAACGAATAGGTCTTCGAGCGAGGGCCCTAACAACTCCATAACCATGGCGTTGTAGCGGCCGCCACATGTTCCCAAGTAGTACACTTTTGGAATGCCCTCTACGACGATTTAAAAATCAATACTCGTATTTAGCATTATATAAATGGCCGTGTGACATGTGTGGCGTAAGAGTCATCCATTGAATCTGCCACTTTATTTCCTTCCACGTCTTAAAAGTCGGTTATAAAAATATGTTGCTTTCTGACAGATAGGAATCCAACCACATAATAATAATCTATTTATTCAGATTACTGTAGGCGTAATCATTTCTTAACGCCAGAACGGTAACGGAAAATCTAAAACTGCCATTACCCAATGACGTCACTTAGCGTTATCATTATAAGAAGTCCTTTGAAATATTGGAATAGGTCAGGTCTCGGCAGTGGTCTTTTTAAGAAGTAAATATAATATTATACAGTTAGAGAACCTATTTTTATATATCTAAGAATCTCTAAATCAATAAATATTTCTTTTATTTGTGTTACTTTTGACGGCAAAGCAATTGGCTGACGCTGTGGGGGCGCGGATTCGAATCCCGTAAAGGAAGTGGTTGTATCGTCTACAAATAATAGGTCCGTGTCTGGTTGTTCGTCCATGTGCAATTTATGTGTGTCAAATGCCTCCACGATACAGGAGTATTTCTTTTATTACGTTTTTGAAAAAGCATTACAAAACTTCTATAACACAAATGAAATGAACATATTATTATTAGTACAGAGTAAATAGCGAGATGATTCGCCGCATAGTGGGTACGTAAGGTAATCCACAACATGTCATCCAGGGTGACGTAAGAGGCTGAATGTGAAACAACAGTTAGGTAGCAGCATCTTCCTCATCACTATTTAAAATAATGTAAAAACTACAGTTGCCACGCCATGGCAAATATACCTACCCTCTATGAGATAATCTAGCAGTGGACAATTGACAAAACGTAATGACGATGAATGGGCAGTATAGTAAGAAAAAAATATTTTTATTTACTACTTAACAGAGCAGCGTTGTTTGGGATATTCTAATTAATGTTGAATTATTACAAAATAATGTTTTTTTTTGTAAGTAAGTGAGTAATGTCTCTAGCAAAATAGAAAGCCACGCAAAAAAGCCATCACGGCCGATTTTTCAATGTTTACTTATGATACAGCATGTTAAACTTTATAATTTTAAAATTTAAGATGAATTAATTTAAGATGACTTAAGTAGTAGTGCAGCCATACTGTTTACAAATCACGCAATAAGTTAAAGAAAATTGTGTTATTTGAAAAACAAAATTTCGTTACAGCAGTGACATAAATAGGTTGCATGTTTCTCAGTTATGCCAATTAACGTGGATATAAACAATAACTTGGGTTACTGGCCTTTTAGTTGGAATTTTAAAAGCTCTTACTATGCAATACTCACCGTGCGTGCCTAGTAACTTGTAAAATCTGTACTCTAGGTGTAATTGCGGAGCCTTGGATTTCATAGGCTCCATCTTTATGGCTACATGTTCATTGTTGTAGAGGTTCTTTCCTGCAAAAATAAAACAATGTTTAAATTTTTTTAAGTAGATTATTAACTTGCAATTGACTTGAAGAAAAAAAGGTTTAATTAGAAACAACTTACGAAGCTACTAGCACTAGTTAGCAACTAGTTGCAACAGAAAAAAAAACAAAGAAAAAGAATCAATACAGAATTGTTTGTTAAAGAGCTAGTAACAATTTAAAGATTGTTGTATAGCGGATCTGACAACTGTGACATGTGGCAACATTGGTGCTATGTCATTACTAGTTTCTCACAACTCTAAGGTCCGTACCTATTGTCTCCAAATAGGAACGCCTCTGATATATAATTTTCCTACCGTCTGTCAAGTATGAAACTAACAATGATATAATTCAACCTTAAAATGTTTATTCCATTGTTGTACATTCATTTTAACTTTTGCTTTTGCACGATGGATTGAGAAATAATGTCATCCATTAAATATATTTTTTTTAAACTTACGTACTAGTTTAATAAACTTGTTTTAAATTGCAGAAAATTATTTTTGAAAGCTATGAATTAAATCATAAGCTATAAATGGCACACTCCCCTCTCATCAGAGAGTCGTCGAATGGTTGTTCATTAAATGTATGATAATTTCATTCTTATATATAAAACTCAATTGCTGTCCATTAGTCTCCGATTTTGATGTTTGTTTTTTTTGTGTTTATTTGAGTGGGTCCCTCGATAGTTTAAAAACTCAACTGAAGCCGGTAGGGGGCGCTGTTGTCGAGATCCAGAGATTAAGAAGTAGGAAAACGGGGGCGGAACGCTAGTGAATAATATAATTTTACTCACCAGCCTATTATTACAATGTAAGTCCCCAACTAAACAGGGGGGGGTGTTATAACTTTGACCGCTATGTGTGTATATCTATGTGTATGTCTGTCTGTGGTACCGTAGCTCTTAAACGGGTGAACTGATTTGGTTGCGGTTTTTCAAATGAAGAGCAGGTTTACTAGCGGTGGTTTTAAGACATTATTTATCAAAATCGGTTCAACCGTTTGAAGATCATCAACTGTTTTTTCAGGGGTTTCTAAAATTTCCAATTTAAGTTTTTTCACTTTATTATTTTGCTATCTTTGGCTCATCGAACTACTCTAATAATATGTATGGCGATTTCAAAGCATTTTTACATAGTTATCCAGTACGTAACAGGAGCTCCCTTTAAAGTGGGCTCACAATATAATATTGTATTAACTATTATAAATTATATATTTACAACTATAATTAATTGTATAAATTATTTATACCAATATAATTAAGTAGAAGAATTTTGAAAACATTTTTTCACCGCAGACGTGACAAAAGAAGTTTAGGTATATTATAAGAATGAGCTGATAAACGAGTACCTAGATATTCCATCTGATGGCATATTGATGCTCTATCACCCCTGAGGACTAAAATGAAATACCTAGTTACTAGTGTAAAGGGTCTCCGGTTCTCTATACTCAACATACAAAACATAGCAGCATCAAGCTACTATTTTACGCTGGTATTCTGTGAGAGCGTAATCCTTCCCTGGTCAACCCGAGCCATTCGTGCTACAACTATACTACTTAATATAACTGCAGCATGGCTCTACCACGTTTTAAATGAACTCTTAAGAAAATCATAAAATTTCACATAAACACCATATTACGTTCACCAGCGTGATTCACTCTCTTCTAATCCAGCAAATTAACAGTATAAACGAATTAAGGCGTCAAATCGATTGCTTGTTAGTAACGCAAATAAAGGCCGTGGTCAAATTTAAATTTAGGGCATCGGCGAATCAAATCACGGAGATAGCTAAGTAGCAATTAGTTAGACTAAGCAAGTAGCAAGATAGAAACTTCAAAAATTTACATTATAATTTGATTCATTCTAAGATTGAAAAAAATATGTCGGGAGTAATTGCAATGACTCGACAACGTGTATATCATTCGCATTTTGGGGGGCCGTACCCTTGATGCAGCAGTAGTGGGAAATGTGGGGTGAAATAGGCGGCTGAACCAACACCCGCGCCCGAGGGCCTGAAAGGCTAGAGCTTCAGAATCGAACTCGTTTTTCCAAGTCCTTACGGCCTCTAAGTGTCACATTCGGAGAAAATCCGTTGTTAAAGTGGAGTGATCATAGAATACTATAATACATACATAATAGAACGGGGGGGTGACACGCCAATTTACACGTATAAATGTCAACACGAAATGTGTTTTGACGTTACAAACGTTTCCAAATTTCCCATGCAAATTATTTAGAAAATGCCGAATTGCCCTCTATTTACAAATTAATATGTATTAAAATCTGTCTGTCAACACAGCGAATCGGGTTTGTAGTAGTGATAATACGACGTTATTGTTTGTATGTGTGCTCCCGGCGACGCCTATCGTCGTATAAAATAAAGTTGACAGCCATTCTATTGTGTATTAGTATGCTGCATGCTGCAGTTATATTAGTAGTACAGTTGTAGCACGAATGGGTCGGCTCGACCGGGGAAGGACCACGCTCTCACAGAATACCAGCGTGAAATAGTAGCTTAATGCTGCTGTATTTCGTATGGTGAGTGTAGAGAACCGGAGACCCTTTTTACTGAAAATGAGGCATTCCATCTCAGTCCTCACGGGTGACAACGCATCTGCATTTTGATTTGTAATGGAAGATAGATGTAGATGTCTATGGGCCGCAGCAACCACTTACCATCAGGTGGACTGTGTGCTCGTTTGTCAGCCTATTCTATAAATAAAAAAAAATGTGAGTGATTATGTGGAAAGGCTCGTTCGTCATATGTTCCGGTGAGCCTTGTTAGGAGAAAAGGGAAAAGACCTTTCTTGGACGGCCAGCTAAAGCAAGATTCGTGAGCGTGCCAGTGGACATGCCGACATGTGGTAAAATATATAATACCGTATTTTATTTGGTAAAAGTCCGAAAAAAACCCTCATTGTGCCAACGAATCACGCGTTATACATTTTCTTTCGGAAAAAAGACGGCATATCGGCATATTAATATTATCGCATGAAATACCGTTATATAAAGTTGTCTTATCTACGAACCAATTCAATGATTCACAATTATAAAGTTTGATAATCAGATGATAGTATTGTTTCATACAAGCTGTGTGTAAGTTATGTATAATATTACTTGTAGTCTAAATTGTGGCGGAATGATATTGCTTTCATAAATGTAAGGGCACTTTTTAATTTTTAGTTTACGACGCGACCGGCAGTCATCGCTTACTGCCTTCGTACACTAATGTTAGTTCGCACATCACTGTGGACGGCCGGGTGCCCGACATTACTACCTAAACACGTCACGCGATTGTACTGATATTTGATGTTAGAATGAGTACACATAACACGAAGTTGTAGTTGATTTTTTGCGCTATTTAGAAAAAAATAACTAAGGATATATTCGGTCATTTAATTATTTTTCAGTAATAGGGCCAATCGTATAGTTTTTTTGGTACAAATTTAGACATTACGAAAGTCGGCTAGATCGTCTTTTTTCTTATACTAAATGAAGGTAAGTGGATTGTTGGAATCATTATATTCTTCAGAATGGGTGTGCCGATTGCGGTAAAAAAAAAACGAAATGTTACGAAATAGAACTAACACTAATTTTATACCCCATACTATTTTTACAAATAGACTTCTTATACAGACAAGCAATGTTATATGTTTATTTTCTTTTTTTTTGGGCTTGTTTTCGTGTCTATCGGGTGAATAATAATATGTTATATATAAGTATAGTTTTTATATGCATATCATGATCATTTTTGATAATTTTTCATTTTATAAATTTAAAGGCCTGTGGTTTAATAGTTTTGTAACAGCTGTACACATCGCCATTGGAGTCACACGAAAGTGTGAAACGATTCGTGAGCAAGCTTCATTCGACACTTTCCGATGATAAGCCTGGGCGAGATTCGACTGGCTCTGCAGCACTTAAAAACGACAAAAGAGATTTCTGAAAGCGGATGAAAAAGCTCTCGACTCTCTCTTTAGGTGGATGTTCTAAAATGTTGACGCGTACGTTTACCTAGCACAAAATGTCCTGCTAGGTAAGTACACCTTCGACCGTGAAGTCAATCAACTGATACTAAAAATGTTAAGAGTTAATTTGCAACCATCCGCTCAATAAAATAAAATGATGTGTCTTACCTAGTTTGAAGAGCACCTCCGCCCTCGCTCAATTGCGTGCATTAATCCCGTCACCACTAATCCCAGCACCACTACACCCAACACCACTACTCTAGGAAAGACACACCATCGACGACAATACGACACGTATTTCGCCTCTACACGAGGCATCTTCAGGTGATGCTGCAATCGAGGGAGGGCGAGAGGTACTCCGTGAACCGATGGGGAACAAAAGTTTTTGAGTAGCACTCTAATACCGATAACCAGTGTCGGGCGGCCCCCTAGATGAAATGACGACCTAGTAAGACATACAGGAAGTCAGAAAGAGATACAGAAGTGGATTCAGGTGAATCAGGGATGTGTTTTGTGGCATTCTTTTGGGGAGGCCTACTTTCATCCGTGTACCTGTGAAGGGTTGTAATCATGTTAATAATTATGATTTTATACTTTTTTTTTTCGAATATACAGAAATATGACAAAAGTAGGTAAACCAAAAAGTGAAACAAAGAAAAAATCAAACATAGAGAACTGTATCTCGAAAACTTTAGCACTAATGCGGTAAAATGTTGCATAGAAACACTATTCATAGAAAGTCTAATTTCTTAGTTGAAACTGCAACATTAATGGCGTAGTTTCGTAACATTAAGGTCATGGACAGACCTCCTCAGTCGTATTACTGTAACCATGGAAGACTGAGCCGTTTCTGTTCGATATAAATTACAATATATAGTGGTAGTTTCCACCTTTTTTATTTACCGTATTAAGCTTTCCCTTATTGAGAATCCCTCATAACGCTACTACTGAATGAAAAGATATTAAAAATCGGAGAGAAATTTGCTAAGATCCTTATGTAAATATACTCAAAATGGCGTGTAATACTTTGAGCGAGGATGAAATAAAATTCTTCGTAGTAAGTTTTACTATATGTACAGCATAGTAAATGGTTGAAACTGTATGAGTACCACAGACCAAAAACGTAATTTTGTAACAGTACGATCACCACGTTTGATGCAATATTGGTTTTCTTTAGTTTTTATTTTTTTTAGATGCAATGATCTATAACTATTGTTGGTACATGGCACTAGCGCCATCTAGTGTCGAGTAGCAGAACTAAGCTTTCTAGAAATTTCTACACCTAGTCAGTCGGGACCGGGAAAAAGTAATCCACAATTTAGACTTAGAATCCGTATTTTAGACATACACAATTTATTAGAGACAAACGCCTAGACCAGGTACAATTATTTCTAAGCCTATATACGAAGGGTGATCCAAAAGTAATGATAATCGGTTACTTCAGTTCGGCATAAAAATCCAAACAAAATATTTTTTGTTTGCTTATATACTCACTATGTCAGCCTAAAAAGTCATATAAATAGATCATGATTTCCGGGAGATACATTCCTACGCGGGCCCCGTCTTTGCCCACGTAAACCCTAACATTTTAAATGAACTCCAAATAGTTCAGAACCTCTTCCGTCGTCGAGCTGCGAACGCACCGTGGTACGTCCGTAATGCCGACCTTCATCGGGACTTAGAGCTCCCAACAATTCAACAATTTTTTTAAAAACTCTCTGAGAACTTCTTCAAAGCCTCAGAGTCGCACCCAAACCATTTAATTCGTGAGGCAGCTTCTTATGCAGCCCCACCCCCCTCTCGCTATCGTGTCCGCAGGCCGAGAAACTCTCTCTCGGACCCGCCTAATAAACTTTCAAACGACCTGAACTGTCTCCTGGCGGCTCAGGCCAACTCTAATTAAATAAAATTATTGTAATATCTAACATTAATTTGCCTTCGTAGGCACTCCCTCAGCGGCACTTAGCCGCCTGCGCCCTCTTTTCCCAAAAGAGGGTCGCTCATGATAAGGCACAATAGAACTTAATCAGCCGGCTGCCTGTCCCCAAAGGCGGTTTTTAGAGGGTATCACTTAGGGTCCCCGGTAGGACAGTGAGCCCCTCATAACCACGATAGACCGGCTATCGTGGTATGCGTAATGCATTTTCCGCCTCCCTACGTATAGGGTAGCCCTTTAATTGCTTCGGGCGCAAAAAAAAAGGGAGATACATTCATTTGAATACGAACTGTCAAAGAGATAACAACAGAGATAACATGGAGAAAAACGAAATTAGAGCTGTCATCAAGTACCTCTGTTTGAAAAAAATGTCTTCAAAAGACATACACAGTGACTTAGTGGAAACATTGGGGGACTCTGCTCCTCCATATTCTACAGTTGCACGCTGGGCCAAGGAGTTTAAACTGGGCAGAACATCCACTGAAGATGAACATCGCGAAGGATGCCCATCCACGTCCCTCACTGAAGACAACGTGAAAAAAGTCGAAGATGTGTTGGCAGATCGAAGGGTGACTATCAAGCATGTAGCTGAGGTCACAGGGATCTCATATGCGTTCATCAGCGTTCAAAGAATCCTTGCGAACGAGTTGCATATGAAAAAGGCCTCTGCGCGTTGGGTACCCAGAATGTTAACCGACGAGCAAAAGAAAAATCGAGTTGACATTTCGAGAGTCAATCTCGAAAAGTTCCAAGCAGATCAAGAAAATTTTTTGTTCCGTTTTGTGACTATGGACGAGACCTGGATCCACCATTTTGATCCTGAAACGAAACAACAATTGATGACTTGGAAGCGAGCCTCCTCACCGACGCCAAAGAAATTCAAAGTTTCAAGTTCGGCAGGAAAGGTTCTGGCATCTGTTTTTATTACTTTGTACTATTACGGGCTCTTACTACGCAGACCAAATAAGAAGATTACGGGAGGCCATTACGGAAAAATGACGCGGCAAACTGCGAGCTGGAGTGCAGTTTCACCAAGACAACGCACCGGCTCACAAAGCCGCAGTTGCGATGGCTGCCATTCAAGGAACGGGATTCGAACTGCTCGAACACCCTCCCTATTCGCCAGATCTAGCTCCTAGTGACTTCTACCTCTTTCCTCAGCTCGCCTCCGAGGCAAGAAATTCGAAGACGATAGCGAAGTAATGGCCGCTGTTGAAGCGTTTTGGGGGGTCAAGACAAAGAATTTTTTTCAAAGGGAATCCTGGGTTTAGAAAAAAGATGGACTAAATGTATTGATTTATTATGAGACTATGTAGAAAAATAAATAATTATTTTAAATTTAATTACCGTGTTTTATTTTCATTATCATTACTTTTGGATCACCCCTCGTACGTTCCTTGCGGGATACGAGCGCGTTGCTCTGTAGCATCGTAAACAAACGCTTAGTCGCCAATATCAAATTTGATTCCTTTACGCACGGTGTATAAAATATATATTTGACAAGTGTTTGTTGTATTGTACTTTGTATGGTCTACAAAATATGTATTAGTGATGGGCCGAATATAGATTTCACCGAATACGAATATTCGGCCGAAGGTTCGGTAAAATTTGTACCGAACCGAATATTCGGCTGAACATTATTTGGCAGGATTACCCAGATACCTAACCAATTTATGTTGGAACTTGTTACGCGAGATTAGCGCCGGACCCTTCCCCTCGCTCCCCCGCCACACCTGACATGTTATTGCATTATCTAGTACTGAGCAAATTGCCGGTACATGCTTAAGTTTTGACTATTTTTGTGAGAAAAAAAGTATTTCGTTAAGTTATTCTTAGTGAAAATTGATAAGTATATGACGAAAATAAGTGGCAGGAGATCTACTATTTGGACCTATTTTAGAGAAACTGACGACTGTAATATAATCTTTCTTTATTCGATTCCAAATAAAATTTTATCGAGCTTTCTATTTGCTATAATTGGAAATAAATCAGTCAAATAAATCAAACCATAATGCTATAAAAGTAGATTTAACCCATAAATAAAATATACTTTCAACAGTAAAATTAAGAAAGACATGGTATTACTCAATTCATATATTTCCATACAATGGATACTTTGAGCACCACTTTAACGAATATTCTGTGATATAGGCGAATATTCGGCCGAATACGAATATTCGGTAAAGCTGCAGAATACCGAATATAAAACGAATATTCGACCCATCTCTACAAAATATTATTTATGATCTGGGTGTTTATTAGAGATGGGCCAAATGTTTGTTTCATATTTGGCTAAATCACTGAAAATTGCTTTAAAGTGGTACTCAAAGTGTCGAATTTATTGAAATGTACGATTTGAGTAATGCT